TACAGGTCGGGCAGGGCCGGGGCACGGCGCAGGCTGCCGGGGGGTGCCGCATAGGTCTCGTCCTGCTCCCCCTCCTGCCCTTCAGGGCCCTCGCGGGTCGGGGGGAGGTCGTAGGGGGCCGAGGGCAGCGAGGAAGGCACAGCGTACACCTGAGGGGTGAGGGGGCGGGTCAGCAGGCGAGGGGCGGTGCCACGCCCCCTTCTGACTCCTCCTCCTCCTCCTGGAACCCCTTCTCTCCCTCCTGCAACCCCCCCCATGCCCATCCTCACCTCCCCGGGGTCCCCGTCCCGCTGGGCGCCGCGGGGCACGTTGTAGATGGCATCCAGGGGCAAGGGGCAGGGCCGGGCTGGTGGGGGCACCACGTACACCTGCAAGAGGCAGAGGCTAGTCAAAGGCCCGGACACCTGGGTCCCCTCAGTCCGGGTCTGGGGACGAGATACAGGGAGACCCTGGACACCTGGGTTCCCAGGCTAGGCTGGGGGCCCTCCCGGACACCTGGGTCCTCACCCCCTGCTCTTCCTCCTCCTTCTTGTCTTCGGTCGGTTCATGGCTGCATCTCCCAGGCCCCTCATGGAGGCCGGCACTGGTGGGGCCAGGGCTGGGGTCCAGGGGCCCGGGCTCGGGCAGCAGGCGCACGCGGTTGGCGGGCACAATGCCAGGCTGGCCGTGCAGGGCGCAGAGGTGCCAGCCAGCTGGGCCTGGTGCTGCGGGCTGCAGCAGCACCAACAGGTCCCCCCGGCGGAAGGACAATTCCTCGGGGCACTCGGCCACGTTGTCATACAGCGCGCGCGCCAGCCGGGCCTGCAGGGCAGGGGGTGTCACGGGAAGGGGGCAGAGCCACCAGGTCCACAGGCAGGTAGGGGGGAGCTTTCCCGGGACCACAGAGATAAAGACGGGTGCATGGGGGAGACCCCCCCCCCCCCCACATGCGTGCACACATGAATGCGCGCACACATGAATGCACACACACAACTCAGGAGTGCAGGCCTTAGACACACACACACACCCACACACAACTCAGGAGTCTGGGTGTACACCCGCACACACAGCACTTCCCCCAGCAGTCCAGGCTTCAGATACACACGCGCATGCACACACACTCCCACCAGGAGTGTAGGTCTTAGACACGCACACAACCCAGGAGTTCATGTCTCACTCACTTCCTTAACACCAAGCTGTCCAGGTCTCTCTCTCTCTCACTCTCACGCACACTTTCATGCTCACACTCTCTCACCCACACACACACCCAACTTGGGAGTCTGAGTCTTTTTCTCTTTCATACGCACACATACAAAACTCAGGAATCTGGGTGTCTGTCTGTCTCTCTCACACATGCACATCCCACCCAAGCATCCAGGACCCCCCTATCCCAGCCATGTCCCCCCAAATTCCAGCTCAAACTCCCCACTTCCCACCCACTCTGGGCCTTGTCCCTGACCGTTACTGCCTGGCTCCCAGCCAGCAGAGTGGTACTTACACACATGCTGTCCTCTGCAGATCCGGCGCTGGCAGGGAGCAAAAGAGCGGGGAACGAACGAATGAAAGGAGCAGAGGAAGGTCACGGCTTCCCCGTTACCTCCCCGTCAAGGCCTCTATTATTGCCCAGCCGGCAGGATGGTTCCGTCCTTCCTGCCACGGAGAGAAAGAAGGAGGAAGAAAGCCTGAAAGAAGGAGAAAGACAGAAAAGGAACGACATAGAGGAGAAGAAAGCACCCAGTCTTCTGCAGGACGTCAAGGCCTCCCTTGATCCGAGCCGTTGGCTCGCTGCCTTTGCAAGGGGCCCTGGGCATCCAACTCCTCTTCTCTAAAAGCACTTGAATGCTGGGAGAAAATTCCTTCTTCCCAGGAGATTTGCCAAGAATATAAGATTTTTGACCCGATGGACAACCCCAAAACCCAACAGCTCCCCCAAAAAACCTTCTTGGATTTACAATTTCCTCTGGCACCGGGGAGGCAAAATCCCTGTAATTGTTCCACGTTTTTTCCAGTGTGAAAATAGCCTGTCACCCACCCCTTCTTCCCCGAGCCAGGGGGCCAGGCCCAAAGGCCAGGGAGGTCTGTGGAGAGGACTCAACACGTTCAAACAAGGCCGTGTTTTGCAATTGCATTTGCAAAGCAAATGCAAGGAGTTTGCAATCTTTCCTCCTCAAATACCAGCCAGGGGGGAGTCTACCCATGGACCCAACCCAGAGCAACGCCCAAGCCTTGAGGAGAAAGAGCTGAGGACACAGGGGGAGGGCTGGAAAAGTCTTCCAACTTTTCCTTCCCCACCCCAGCTCCAACAGCTCAATCCAGAGCCTCCGAATCCGGCTATACTCCAACAACTCAATGTTTGCCCTTGAATCCAGCTGTTGATGGGTCCTTGAAACAAATGGAAATGTCCAGAGGTTCTCCTAAAATAATCCGAGGTGTTTGCAAACTCCTTACATGGCCGGGGAAACTTGTTGCTGGGGGAAAAAAGCCAGAAATTTGGGCAAAAACTAAACACTGAGTTGTGGGTGGGGGTTTTTTTTTGGTTTGGGGGGGGCATTTACCATCCCAAAACCGCAAGGTTTCCAAGCTGGAAGCAGGCCCTGCAGAGTCGGCCTATGGAAGGGGACGTGGAGAATTGTGGGTGGAGAAACACAACCCAGATTCTGGAGATGAAGGAGCAGGGGGTGGGTCCTGAAATCCAGGGTTTTTAATCAGTGCAGGGAAGAAAAGAATTTACCGGTGTTGATGTCTGGCAGAGGAGCAAGTACGGAGAACTGAAGAGATGTCCGGAGGTGATGGCAGCCACTGAGAAGACCTGGTATTAATTGTCCAGTGGCCACACAATTTCAGGGTTCTCTGTTGGCCCGGGAGCCGTGGGGCCGGCCCTAGAGCTGGACTGCTGATGGGGCCAGCCAACCCCTGGCACCAGAGACAGACAAGCCCCAGCTTTGGGAACTGAGCCTGGGCACGGAGTTGAAGCTGGGGACACTTGTACACACGAGACTGACCCTGGGGAGAGAGGGAGGTAGCGAGGGAGAGTGTGGGGGATGGACAGGGGAGTGTGGAGAGAGAGGGAGGGATGGATGGACGGGGCTATGGGGGTGGGTGGATGGATGGATGGATGGATGGGTGCATGGAGTGCATGTGGGGAAGGAAAAACACATGGGGGCTACATGGGGATGGATGGCAGCATGTGGGAAAGGAAGGATGGAAGGAAGAACATGGGGGCTACGTGGGGATGGATGGATGGATGGATAGGTGGGGGGGCTGATGGATGATGGGACGGACAGATGGGGGCTATGGGGATGGATAGATGGTGTAAGTGGGGCTAGATAGACAGGCAGCAGTGTGCACATGTGTGTGTGCACTTGCATGTGTACAGACAGACAAACAGGTGTGCACAGACAGCCCTTTGGATCTCTAATGGCTCAGCAGCACCCCTAAGGGGGACTGATGGGTCCATTCGTAGGGAACCCTAGTGTCCCCGGCTCTTGTGACCAGCCACATCTTGGGGCATCTCTCTTGGGGCACCTGTTCACCCCCTCACACCTGCTCACCCCCATGCTGGGGCCAGGATCAAGGGGGGCCACACAATTCCAGGGTTCTCTGTTGGCCCGGGAGCCGTGGGGCTGGCCCTAGAGCTGGACTGCTGATGGGGCCAGCCAACCCCTGGCACCAGAGACAGACAAGCCCCAGCTTTGGGAACTGAGGGGGGGAACTGAGCCTCGTGTGTACAAGGGCTCCCCTTGTTTAGTTGCCCCAACCTCAGCACCCAGTCCTGCAGTGTCCCCAGGCTGTCCTTTTTCCTTCTCCCTCCTTTGCCGTCCTCTTCACGCTCCTTCCTTCTCTCCACCCCTTCAACGTGGCCAAAGTTTCTCTACTGCCTTCCTGCCTCTCTCCTGCCAGGCCCTGTCACCTTCTCCTCCTTTCCCCACTTCCTTTCTTCCCCCACCCCCAGACTCAACCTCTCTGTCTTTTTCACCCCCTCTGTCCCCACACTCCTCCCCTCCCCGCCTTGCACGCTCCCCCTCTTTCTTTGCCAACTTGCCTGGACTTTGTCT